TCAGCATTAATTTACGTAAATATTCTTCTGCAAAAAATGTTACTTATAGACCACATACAGAATTATTCCTTCTCTATCAGTAAAGTCTCCAAATATGCTCTAGAGAAATACTCTGAAGAAGGTAAAAAACAACCCTTAGCAAAGTCCTAAGTTGTTTCTGCAATAAGGTGACCTGGGGTAGTAGTGAGAACAAGGACTGAGGGAGTCAGTGAACACTCTGGACTGCTGAATGTTGACCACATTTCTGTAAAAATGAAAGATTTCCCAAGCAAAAATTGAGCCAAAACAAAAATCAAGATGGTGTTTAGGCAGCAGACTCAATAAACAGCAGGACATATTTGACTAAAGAATCAGACAAACCTTAACAGCAAGCTGAAAACACCACATGAACACTCACAGTATTATAGAGGGCCCTGAGTAGACAGGTAAAACACATCTGGTTTAAAAATACCACTAGGCATGTGTTAAACTGTTTGCCAACAATCATGCTCACTTGCAAAGTTAGTCTGCATTGTTGCTTGCTTTAGTAATCACAGCCTCAGATCTTACACCTAGACATACAACTATTCCATTAACATATCATACCAGCATCAAAAAGCCAATTAGTGCTCCACACAGTGCAATTATGCTCTTTAAGTAGATGCTTTTATCTGTATTTTTCATACAGCAGTACTTAACATGACAGCACTTCTAATCTCATTGTGGGCTGTTTGTGGTTCACCCATTTCACACACTAATCAAGAGATCCTGCAATCTAGATTTCCCCAATTTATGTTGAAATGTACAGTGCTGTTCTGTGGAGCAATTCCTGCACTGGCTCACAATGACATGCCAAGCAAGTCCTGGTATTCCTCCTCTCCTATGTAACTCCTATGTAATACCTAAATAATACAAGCCTAATGTATCTTCTTCACTGCAAGGAACATGGGAAGACAAGAGGAACTTAAATCAACTAGTGACATTTCCCTAACTATTGCTCAGGCTTCTGTCCTCTCAACATATGTTAAATACAATCTTTTTAACCAATTTTTGTGTCATTACAGGGTAACCAGGGCAGCAGAGATGTACAGCACACTGATTTTTGCTATTTTACCATTAAACAAAACCTAGCATTGGTTGTGTTTTGTTTAAAAGGCAAACACCACCACCACTACCCCCCACCCCTCCACAATAAAGCACTTCTGGACTACCAAAAGGGTTGCTTTCATCAGGCTGAAATAAGCCTTCACTGGTCTGTGGTATTTACCAAAGGCAGGAGACTGCCTCAGAAAATGAAATTCAGTTTCTTTTAAGACTGTCTCTATTCAATGCATAACAAACAGTATTGATCAAACAGGTAAGTAAAAGCTCAGACTCTGTATCATGATTCAGTGTGCAGTCTGGAGTTACGCAAGTATTTTGAAACATGCCTTTTTATCATTCCTTCAACAATCTGTTCAGTTTTCAATGCTGGCTGTGCACCAACCCCTCCCTAGATTCTTGATATTGAAACACAGGAACATTTGCTTGCTATGGCAAAGAGGGAAGTTTTCCCATTGTTCATCCACAGAGCAGATTTGGAATATGTAATCAAATATTCCTGGGGAAGACCGTGTGCTTGAGCAACTGTTGTTGGTTTTGAATGAAAGACAGGAGTTTCTGAATCTAGCTACCTCTGTCCTACCAGTGCTGCTGGACCAGAATTTAAAAATAAAATGTATTCTTTGGTTTTCTTTACAGCTCTGGAACAAAACAACTCACAGAAGGCAAACATAAAACTTTTCTGAGGAAAAGTCCTGCTGCTCCCCTCCTTACCCTCACAAGATCTTCATCCTAATCCTTCATCTTACTTCTGAACTGTTCAACAACCTCAACACAGTTGTTTAAAACCAAAATGTAATAGGGTAGCTTTCACCTTTGCTCTCTAACACATCTAGACCTTTAACATAAAGGGCAGCATCACTACTTCAGAGACTCTTCTCTCATACTTACATAAATGAACATTCTCATTAGAGGTTTTGCTTGCTTTCCGGGAAATCAAGAGATTATCACCAGCCCAGGGAACAACAAATTTGAGTATTTCATAGTACTACAGCCTGATATTTTTTGCAAGCATGGGCACTGCATATACCAATACACAAACTAAAACACCATGGACAATTTCTTGTCTGATATTGGATTTGTTGTAATCATCTTTAAACACACATTCCTACCACCTCACAAAACAGAAATCCATCTCCAAGAAAAAAACGCTGTGAAATAACTGCAGGAAAAGTTACAGTATCTTTATGTAAAAAATGTTGTCACTTCTAAGAAGAATCACATCTTGTGTTTGTTGTTGTATCTCCAGTGTTGCTCAGCAAGGTAGGAGTCATTTGTCAAGACATTAAAAACACCTCAAATCCATTAAAAGCTCTGATATCTTCTGAAAAAGCAAACGAAGCATGGCTGACCTTCAGAGGGAATCATCGTCACCTTTTCCTACTAATAGAGATGCACATATTAATTACATCTCAAACCAATAAACCCACTTACAGGTACACCCGCACAACAGGGAAAATTTAGCACCCTGGAAATAACAGGGCTAAGATTTTGCTGAAATGCATGCAGGCATACACTAGTATTTTAATTGTTTCTCAGCACTACAAATGAAACTATAGCTAACACTGCCTACTTACCATGCCATCAAATAAAATCAGAACATAACTTCATGAAAAGTGGAATCTTGCAAGAGCATCTGAGATGAACACAGAAGTAACAGAACACTTATTTTGCAAGTGATCTGGGGCATAAGAAAAAATTGCTGGCACATTCACTGACTTCCTTAAACTATGAATACTTGATAACCACCCTCCAGAACCTACTTCTGTATGTGGTAATTAAAACTTTCTTGTTTCTATGGCTGCTTTCTTCTTGAATCATTGAGCTGTTCAGAGGACATCAGAAAGCAGAACACCAAAACCTACAGTGAGTGCTTAAGTGTCCCAGGCTTCTCTGAAAATCTTTATTCAAGTAGCACTTGTCTCCTATACTGTTATTGTGGCTATCTTACCTGCTAGCTTCTTGTTTGCTCCTGGTACCTTTCTTTACACACAGATATTTGGGAGAGCAGTAAGAATTGCAGGTTCCACAGCTGTGCTGCCCTGCCTAGGGACTTCTGCACACCTGCCCCAGGAACAGCCAAGAAGTGACTCATTTTGCACCAGTTTTAATCCCTTTTTGCCAGATGTTTTGCGCAAGTGTCTCCCACACACACCATTATCCACCCTCTCTAATACAGGTTCCTTTGATTCTGCAGGGGACTGAAATGAAAAAATAACTACAATCTCAGATCATATTAGAACCTACAGAAAAGTCACTTTAAACGCAACAGGTATTTCTATAGTTTAGGTGATCTAAGAAACGGGTATAACTTAATGCATACAGAAAAAACACTCTACCAGGAATGTTTACATAAATGTTAAGAAAATTTAACTGCCTTAAGAAAGAAATGCAGTCAAGTGTTTTGTCTTCGATTCAACAGTCCTAAAGCAAATAAATCTACCATCACGATAGCAATTTTTGATTTCCAGTACTTATCATGCATCATGGTATATATACTAAGAAGAAAGAAGTTGTGCAGTCTAATAAACATCCATTTATATACACTCCCACATAACAAGTACTTAAAATAAACAGCATCCATTTCAATAAAAATATACTTCCAACAACAGAATTTCTCTATTAAATCCATGTTTATTGCTTAAGTTTTATCACAGTGGAGATTAAATTATTCTTAATCATCCGGTCAGTGCTTTTGTACCTTCAATGCCAAAAAAAACCCATTTAAACCAAGTCATTCATACACTCGAAGTCTTATTACCATCCCACCATTCATCGCCTCTGTGTGCTCCTTAAGTTGCCACAAACTGCAAGATTGTAAAAAGGTATAGCTGATAGGCTTATTTATAATACCATTTTCTTCAAGTATTCAGAAAGCAGTACAAGTAGCTGTACTGTATATTAGAAACATATCTGTACTGTTATTATTGCTATAGGATAGAGGCTCCTGATGGAATGATAGTGAAATATTGCATCACTGTGTATGAAGATGATCTCAGCATCCTGTCATCGTCACAGCTCTCCCCGTGTTAGTGAACACCATGTCAATGGATTTCTTCCCTTTCTCTTTCAGGCATGGGATTTACAACTACAAATAAATAAAGCATACACTCACAACATGTGTAGTGCAAATTCCAAGTAAACAGAATGACATGGAAATTAACTCATAGTTGCCAACTCAGGTTGCACGGGGCAGTTGTGATTTTGGGCCCAGCACCCCACGCCCCCGCCTCAGGTGCACACCAGTGCCAGCGTCCCGTGTCGTCTACAATGATTGAGAGAGATTGTTGCAAGGAGGGGCCGTAGCAGGGGAAGGGGGACACGACCACCTCTGCAAACCCTGCGCTGGGGTGGCCGGGCTTCACCCCACACATCCTGCCAGAGCTGGGAGGCAGGCTGGTCACCCACCCTGGGGAACAGCCTCCCCTCCCGCATCCAAGAAATTTGTATTGGCAACTATGTGGAACATGGATTGCGTGGCCCAGACTAATAGAAGGTAAAATATTTTTCCAGATAAAACCATTGAAAGAGAACATCTACAACACTGTGATTTAGGAAGAACTTAATAATGAGAATTAATAGGAAAGACATTCAACTTCGGGATGGTGGGGGGTGTTTTTCTCTTTTTTTCTTAAACAAACCCCAAGTAGTGGTTTGATGCTGCACAGCTCTAGGCCATTAGAAAACTTTCTGCATTAAGCACAGGGCTAGATTTCCTTTTTTGTTGTTCTTTGTTTCATTTATTTTTCTTCATTATGCAAATCTATTTCCCACACAGCCACATTTTAAACTGAAATAGAAACTCCCTAATATTTTCTTGGCATAAATTATATATGCGGAGAAAGGCAACAAACAATTTTGTATGAATTAAAAATTAAGACATACTGCAGAATTGCTCAAGACCCTTTTCTCCCAAGTACTGGTAGTGAGCAGAAGAGTCATGCAGCTTATCAATAAAATGACTACATATTTTTGCCATTTTTCTTCAGTGCTCATTTTAAGGTTTTTTTTTAAATGTCTGTGTTCTCAGTCAGCAACTTGTCTTTCTTGCACAAAGACTGAGAAAAAGTTTTGGGTTCTTTTTTTTTAAACAGCATTCTGACACAACATGCTGAACCTCCAAAGGAAACAGAGCTAGCTCCTAAAGTACTCTCAGGCTAAAAGATGGATATATTAAAATAATTTAAAAATAAAGGAAAAAACTTCTGCAAATAAAGAAAACTTTCCTTATTTGGGACACACACATTTAGATTTTACAAACTGAAAAACCATAAATATGGGCATTGAATAACTTGAGAGAATTAAGGCTTCTAAAAACTTCAGTGCCAATATAACTCTCTGCATCAGTATTAAGAAAATTTTCCATTTTAGGTTGTGCTTGCTTTTTCTTTTTTTAAAGACTTCTTAGTTCCGTAGAATTTTGTCACATAATATTACATACTGAAGGGGAGTGTTAGAACTGCTTATTGGGGTTTTAAGTAGTTGTTAGACTAAGTTACAGCGATAAAATTCGATTACTGATCTGATTCATTACTACTTTACATGGGGCAGTTGGCTCATTTCACCTTTTTTTCATGCTTAATGTGGCCATTTCTTCTATACTTGCCATTTGGGATCCCATTCTGGTAATGTCCATTAACAGCGCTATGGTCGTCATTTGACCAAAGATGTTTGCTTTGTTTGCGGATAAATTTTGTTATCCTGGCCAAAACATAATAAAGTAAGGCAGCACCCACTAGTACAACAAAGGCAATATCCAGTAAGAAATACTGATAGAAAGAGATGCTGTAAACAGCGGCACGTAGATGTTGGGCTCCATTGTGACGGAGGATGTAATTAATCCAGTATACAGTCCGGTTAACAGGATGACCAGGTTGGTCTTTGTGAATCTCAGACAGCCTCTGGGCCTGCTGCCGGTAGCTGCAGGGAAGCAAAAAGAAGGGAAAAAAGGAAAAAATCATCATCAGGGCTCTAAGCAATGCAAGTCTGCAACCATATAAATATACTTAAGCCTCTGCAGATCAAAGAATGTGTTACTGCAGGACTCACAACCACCAGCATAGAGAGCTAGATACAACAGATCTTCTGTCCTTCAATCAGTTCCTACAGCCTGTTGATAAAGAATGACTAGAAAAGCAGAAATCCACCCTCCAGCAAAGCTATAAAGAGCCAAGCTGACCTGCTGCCAGGAGGGAATCTTATCTAATCCAAAACAGTCCTACCAAGCAAGACACATTTGCTCTTCCCACTGCAAAGCGGAAACATACCCTGTCTAACCCATCACTCATTTTCACTGTTGTGAAACTGAATTACTAGACAAAGAAAGAACAACAGAAGAAATTCAGTTTTGATTGTATAATAAGACTAATTCCAGTTGGGTCCAGAGTTCAGCCTCAAACTGTGTTTCTCAGCAGGGCACCCCCTGAAGCCGATCTCTCCCCTCTTACTGAAGCTGCAGAGTCGACACATTATTCATGCAAGACTTGCCTCTCTACAGAGCAGGGCTGCACACAGGAAAGGTGATGCCAGTGACATTATCAAGAGCTCTTGAGTGATGTTGCCCTTCCCTGAAGATCTGCTGCTTGCTCCTTACAGGTTTCTCCTTACCCTAGGCAAGCACCACTTAAAGACTTTGCTCCCATGAAAGCAGGAAGCTTTGTCAGCACCATACTCCAAAACTAGCAGCAGTCAATAAGTCATTATACTCTGGAGATGGGCTGAACATCAGATGTTTTGAAAAGATCTGAATTAACTTGTGAAGTGACTTTTCTCTTACTTTAAATATTTGAGATTTTTTTTTTTAATCAAATCATGAAGCTTTAGAAAAGTCACTCTTTTAATACCTCCATAACTTTAACTCCAATCCAAACATGCCACCCTACAGGTGTATATTGTTCTGGACCCCTTAAGCAGCACAACAGACAGCTAAATATGGAGCAATCAAGACAGAAAGAGACATGGGTCTGCACCAGGGATTAAGTCAGGGCAGGTTTGTTTCTATAATCTCTCTGCCCTTCGCACAGCAACTGTTGCAAAAAGAACATGAGTAACCATGTGAATTAGGACTTGCCCTAACTGTACACAGAAATGCCAACATGCTTTTTTTTATCTTGCAAAGCTTCTGTATCTGCACATGTATCTCATAGCAAAAGCTCAAACTAAAAGCAAGAAACAATTGCTCGTGCCATACCTGGGATCATTAATAACTTTTACTAGGGCTTCATACAACTCGGTCTGGGTGACAGTTTTCCAGTTCAACAATATTCCCATGCCTTTGGCCTGCACACGAGTCATAGTATCGTAATGGTCTCCAAAAAGGGGAATCCCCACCACTGGGACCCCATGGTACATGGTTTCAAAAATGCTGTTCAAACCTCCGTGACTAAGAAAAGCTTTAATGTTAGAGTGACCTGAAAACAGAAAAGGCAGGAAGATTAAAAAAACATTTACATCTCCTTAATGCAAAGTTACTGAAACAACATGTTTGTCACCATGTTTCTGACGTTGAAATTCAGGAAGGCAAAAATGAAGGCAACTGGTTATGAAGTTCTCCTTCAACCTGCTCCACTGACATTACATGTGCATTAGCTTATTTCCTTATACACTAAGAGAGTGGGAACAACCAACACAAAGAAAATTCTCATGTATACAAGTTGTGTAGAATTCATTAATGGAGTAATTAACATACATTGTTTACCCCCGAGTAGCTGCAGGTGGCGACTACAGCCAGTTGATCAGTATAAGTGAACCAAAGAGCAAGCATTTTTCCTCATTACTCATATGAAATAAAAGCTACTTAATGACAGGGCAATTGAAATTGCATTCTCTCTAAAGTTTCAGATGCCTTACTACAGGCTAGCAAGATCTGAAAATAATATACATATAATGGCAAAATGAGCAATTTGGTAACCAAAACAAATCACCTGCTTTAACAAGTCTTTTGCTTAGTCACGACATTGCACTAAATACTCCTGCTGACATGCACACAGACACACACATGTTTACACACATTCAAAGCCCATTGCAGCACTGGAGCTGTTTTGCTAACACACCAAAAGCCAGGTATCCCAAAGAACCGCAAATATTCCATGACCTGCAACGTATTCAGCTACCCTTTAAATAAGAAAAAAAAACACTGTGCTTTTTCGTAAGAGAGATTAACAGTCACCAGTACCCTAAAACAGTAGATTCAAGAAAATCACTAATTATTTAGCTTTAATACTTTTTTTTCCTTAAGCTCCATAGCTTCCATAGCATTGAGAACACCTGTCATTTTTTTTTTTCCCCATTTATTAGGTCTTTGGAATAACTAGGTTCTTCCACCCTGTTAACTTGAGAAGGAAAATGAGTTAGCACCAGGGAAAGAAAGAACATCAGAAGGGTGTTTGATCCCAATCTTGACATTTTAATTCTATATTTTTGTTTTGTAAATGCTACTACAGACAGTTTCCTAGCTTTATAATGATAACTCAGTAGAAGATTTTTGGAAGAGCAATCCAAACTTGAGTGAGAGTAAGTGATATATGCTCTATACTCACCAAGGAGGTCATTTTGTGGTAACCATTCTATAAGCTTTGTATTGTTGCCTAAATTCCTAGGTTTGTTTCCTGAAAACCTAAAAAAAATAAATAATCAAACAGAAGCTGAGTTAAAGACCTCTAAAACCAATGAAAATCAAACCAGATAATCAAACCAGATGATCCATGAGCCTTAGGTAGATCTCCAGTTACACAGGGACACTGCTTACTCATTATTAAAACAAAATAGACTCAACCAAAACACTGAATAGCCAAAAACTTCCAACTCTGTTTTCATAATTCAGTTTCCTTGTAATCTGGCCTGTAATGCAGTGTCTTCTATTGATGTAATGGCAACTTAGCTCCTTATCAAAGCTTACATAAATCTCATTATTATCACTGGTAGGAAGTTCTATAACCTTTCTACGGTTCCAAGTTGGACCGTTCTACTGAAAACCCTGGTTGGTCCTAGGTAAGTGACTCAACTAAGATCATCCCCCTCAGCACACAATAATCCCCACCATCAATGAGGCATTCCCTCTCAGTTGGCTACCATCTCAGTTTAAATGCAGTTACTAGCAGCAAGAAGGGAAAGGCTGACAGCTCAACTGAAGAAGCAAAGAGCTACTGATGAAAAGTTGGGGACCAAGCTAAGAGACAAGTCTATTTTTCTTACTTGCTCAATTGCCTGAAAGTCAATGACAACATTTTGCTCTCCTGAGGTGGCCTGAAAAGTTTAACCCATAAATTAAGGGCTCAAAGTACAAACAGATTTACCTATTATTATATACAGTTAGTATAGAAATATAGAAAGTTAAACACAGAAAAGAGTGAAAAAAAAATTACTACTAGACGATATGTTGCTTTGCAATAGCTCCATTACATGACTTAAGAGTATTCTTTTGCTACAGCATTAGAACTGAAACTTCATAAAGAATCAAAGATATTTTCCTGCAGAGAAATATTCCAGGGAAACCATACTAACAAAACCAAAAAAAGCACATTAAGATCAACAGGCATAAATAATTAACTACAAGCCAAGCAGTGCTGCAGGCTTCATAAGAAGCAAACAGAGCAGCTCTACTCCAAACAAAAACTGATGAGGTCTTACTACAACTATCAGGGGCTCTGTCACAGCTAGAATTTCCATTCCCCTGTTCAATATTGGGGTTCACAATTTCAATTACACACAGCAGTGAAAACAATCCCTAAGACATGACAGGGGACAGGATGCTCAATAGCTAATACAACTTCCCAAGTGCAGTAAGGAGAGTAGGCATTAATTTTAAGAGATTATTTGGAAACCAGTGGTTCACATGAACTTCTCTGAAGTGTATTCCAGAGCCAAACTACATGCAAAGCAGAGCTGACTAAACAGCTCTTGGATTTTTACAGTAACTTGAGTGCCACTTGAGATGGTTTTTAGAACAGAGAAAGCTTGTTACTGACTTTTACTCCTGCTGATTTTTCTCCTTCTAACTTCTCACAGAAAAAATACATGTGAAGAGCAATTATTAAAGTCTGTTTACTGAAAAAAGAGGCCTGAGAAAGGGAAGAAAAAGGAAAAGAGAAAATCTAGAATTAAATCAGCAGAATGCCATTCTTGCTCCCTGGGGTGGTTTCTTCATCAGAAACGATGACATTATGTCACAAATGTTACAACCTCAGACTCTTTTTACTGTCCCAGTTTCTTCTAGGATACAAACTCAGCATAGAAGGATAACCCATGCCTTACTCTGCCACAAAATCATTGCTCCTCCTTATTACTGGGGGACTGCAACATTTGTGAAAAGTGTCTTTCAAAGAGTGAGGTCCACTGTGCCACGCAGACTAACTTAAATTCAGCTTCTGCAACTATAGATCAAGATGACAGCAGGAAATGAGCATGTTTCAAATTACCACAAGTACACCTATGATTGCACTTACCTCCAAATAACTCTCTGAGGCAGTCTTGCCAGGGCATGTGCTAACTTATTGGCTATATCTTCTGACAGGTATTTCACTCCAGCTCCAAAGGAGACAAGGACAAAGCCATTTTCATTAGCACCATTCACCCACATTTGGAGATCCTGTCAGAGAAAATTGGCACTGAGCAATGCAGAAACATAGGTAAACCACAGATCAAATAAACATTGCTAAGAACCAACAGTTGTTGGTCTCTTTACTTCACAAGCCAAGTTGAGTCAAACATTTTAGAAATCACCAAGTACAACTTCTCAATGATTCAGAATCCATGGTACAGACTACAAACAGCAAAATTGTTCTGGATTTGTTTTAGCTTCCAAATGAACAACCAGCTTTATAAGACAATTTGTCCTTTCTTAACTGATCATTTGACACACATTCACAAGCTTACACATTACATTTTAACTCAGCAAAATATAAACATATCTCTGGCAGTATCAGCCCAAAAGTACAGCACAGGAAATACATGAATGATGTCTTGACTTAACTGTGTCATTCCTAGCCTTAAAGAAAGTGAGAGTACTTCAAAAGGGTTGTTTTTTTTGCATTTTGTAAAAATACACAACTTGAAAAACCAAAGTTTCAAAACAGACTTTCAGTTCCCCCCTGCTCTAAAATTTGGAGGAACCAGGAATAATACTCCTGTATGTAGAGTACAAGGATGGATGTCCCTCTCTCTTCAACCTATGTATTTTATCTTTCTTAGACCTGTGAGCCTCTTACACAGCAAATTAGCAGTATTATCTTAAATATACTTAAGAGTAACACAGGCAAAAGGCCTTTATATCCTTAAGTGCATCTTCCTCTTACAATTACTCTGAAACCAAGTCTCTTGCAATGCAATTTTTGCTGACCCTCCTGAGTCAAGGGCTGCCCCAGGTGAGGCAAGGAAGGCAACAATGCTGAAAGCAGAGCGCTACAGCGCTCCTAAACACTCTCAAAACAGAACAAACCTCAATCTCCCAGTGTAACCTGACAGCCACCCTGTAAGATCAAAGTCTGGAGGTGGCAGGGGGAAGGAAAAGATGGAAAGAAGTCTAAGTGCACTCTTCTATTTTGTAAGTGAAGATTTAATAAGTTTTTTCCAATGCAACTGTTGGCAATGAGAACTCAAAATTTGTACCCCTCAGATATGCCAGTCTGATAAAGAATATCTTATATATTTCCCAGGATATGAGTAAGTTCCTGTCTCACCAAATTTAAGCCTGCTCCACACCAGCACAGCACTAAGAAATATCAAAAGAAAAATTAAGAGCTATGTTCACAATGTGCCTCTTGTCTTGGTAATAAATAGGACATCAGACAGAGTAATGCTGCACTATCGTATCTTCACCCAAAACCACAAAAGCTACCACAAAAACCAGCAGGTAGAATCAAGACTTGCACAGTACACTGGGGCTTGTACAATTGTCTCTGCTACATAGAAATAAAGGGGTTTCCATTTTCTCTAGAACCCACACTTTTCATTTTTCTTCATCCTTTTCCAGTGTACTTTTCCCTTTTCCTCCTACATCAGTAGAGGGAAGGGGGGCAAAGAAGTGTTTGTGACCTTCCTCCAAGCTGAATCATTACCTGCTGAGCTTCTGACACGAAAATTTCCAAGATTTAAAGCTTGTCCTTGAATTTTACTTAAGGACTTAAGACCATGATGCAAATAGAATTATGCTAGTCACTTTTACTTAGTGGTTCAGCTAGTTACATCTTGAATTACTTCCTAGCAGTTGTTTACAGCTAAACAGAAAACAACTTTTTGTGGGCTCTAGGACAAACCATTCTGAAGAGCAATCAAGCAACATGCTGTAAAAGACTGCTCTCTTCCCATTTGTGACATCTGATCAAGTTACATTCTGAGAGCTGAAGTTATCTGTTAGAAGGTGGGTTTTTTTTCAACAACTGCAAGAAGCCCAGCTTTCACAGGCTCTGGTCTTAATTGGGCATGCACTCACCATAATACTTGTTGAAGGGGCTTAGAAACCTGGAAGTTCCTGGAAGCCTTCTTGATGAAAACTCTATGACACAAGTGCTGAAGAAGCCAACAAGAGTGGATGCTCTGCTAGACCTCACATACAGAGAAGAAAGACCTCATCTGGGATGCAAAGGTCAGGGGCACCCTTGACTGCAGTGACCGTAAGATTGAGGAGTTCCAGATACTGAGAGGACTAGCAAAACAGCAGCAGCATCTCCCAGACTTCAAGAGAACTGACTCTGGCATCTTCAGAAGCCTGCTTGGAAGAATCCCATGGGATACAGTGCAGAAAGGACTCCTGGCAAGCTTCAGATGAAAAAGAAGTATACAGGAGGTAGAAATAGGGACAGATAGCCTGGGGGGGAATATACAGGCACTTCCTGAGCTTGCACGAATAGGATTTGGAAAGTCAAAGCCTGCTGGAGCTGAATCTGGTAAAAACAACATGAAGGGCAGTGAGGTACATGAGTAGCAAAAAAAAAAAGTCCACTGCTGAACGGGACGATGAACCTGGTGACAAAAAAATACAGTGAAGCTTTCTTCATCTCAGCTATTACTGGTAATGCTGACCTTCAGCAATCCCAGTTCCCTCAGACCAGAGGGAAAGCCTGGAGCAAGGACTCAGTAGGAGATCAGGCTAGGCTGCTTTTAAATGAACTGGACATAAACATGACCTGATAGGATGCACCCAGAAGTGTCAGCAGACCACCAGGACCTGGTCACAAAGTGATGAGGTAATGGCTACACAAACAGCAAGGTGGGACTGAAAACTGGCTGAACTGCAGGGCTGAAATAGTTGTGATTGGAGGCATGTTTGCCTAAAAATCAGGATAGCTGGCAGTACTGCTCAAATATTTCTCAATCAGCATGGGAAAGCCCTACCTATGCTCGGTCAATCACCTAGAGATCAGACTGTCCTAGCTGAGGAATAGCTCCCAAGGCTACTGCTCTACTGCACTTAGAAATTCTAGGACACTTCATAACCCTGATGTATTCCCATAATAACAATTATACATCATTATATAAACATACAGGTAGAAAATATTTCTAATAGAATTTCTAAAATAGCATTAAAAAAACCCATATATAATAACAAATAGCTATTAAGCACTTAAAGTCTAACAGAGAAAAAATAAAGGAAAATTACTACTTATGAAATTAGTGTCACCTTACAAACAAGCTTTTGCATTTTATTGTTGTGCAACAGTAAAGTTGACTGCTTCACTTATTGCAGCCAATTTCATACGCAAACCTTTGTAATCCTTGCCTTTGAAGGTAATCCCATTGCTTCAGTGTAACATAACATTTACAAAGGGGAACTTGAGATCTTGACAGGCAAGACAAGACACTGCCATTAGGCTCAAAAGATATAACTTGCTTGCAGTATTAAACGGGATTATAGTAAAAAATAAAAATCAATGCCATGGAAATTGTTTTCTTTTGTATAAACTGAAGCTTATTATCTGAGTGCTCGCTCTCCTGACCCCATTTCTTAAGTGTGGCAACACAAAACACATTCTCACAAGCTCTCAAAGTGTGATCCATTCAACAGAAGTTTGCACGGAAGGACTTCAACTTCAGAAACCAAGCAAGCTTTCCATACAGACAGATGCACACTGTGGAACAGACAAATGAAACAAGGTTTGCCATGTTCAGAGCTGGTAAGGATAAACCAGCTCTGATCCAAGAGGTACATAACGATTAACACAAGTGCAACACGCAGCGACTTGGCTCAGAGAAAACAAAAGCCTCATAACTACCATGGGCTACCACACCAGAGCACGATGATGCCTGGTCAACCCAAATCAGAAGTAAAACACACTTGAAATTGTCCTCAGGGTTTCTTTCAGGATGCTAAATTAGAAGGAATAGGATTGTGATTCATCACACAGGGTCAGAAGCATGCAGGGCCTATCTCAAAAAGATCAAGAAGAGTTTCAACTCAGCTTTTTATAGTTTGACATCAACTGAAAGGTGGTTCTCCCCACTCCAAATTTGTCCTAATTTTACTTAAGCTTTACACTATACTGGCAGTTAAGACTGGATTGCTTGCCTGCCTTCTGATCTGCAGCTCCTTTCCATTCTGCTTCCCCAGAGATGTGCTGAAGATCAGTACTGCCCATGGGCTGCAGAAAATTAACTACACACTTGTTAGGACAAGGGTTTTTCTCTCATACACCTCTGTAATTCCTCACATAACACAGCCTGAGTTTAACAGGATCACTAGACATAGCTAAATATCTAAGAGTTGAGTAAAAAAGAGGAAACTGGACAATATGGAAATTACACTGCCTCCATGTAGAACTCCAAAGTCATGATCTGGAGGAGTCCGTTATTCTCAGGTTCCTTTAACTTATTTCTCCTGACAGCTTCTTAGTACAGACTTTCTAAACTGAAGATGTAGTGAAATTGAATCCAATTAAGTGGCCCACACAGGCCTTTGGCTGCAAAACAGTTCTGAACATCCTAGTCCAATTAACTGGGCCATGGCACAACTCAGTATTTTCCTTTACTTTTCCCCCTCTTTATGTGGCATACAGGGTATAGAAGGGATACTTCCAGCAGATAAAAAAAGCAGACTATGATCTTGACACATGAAAGAAACCAGATATTTGATCAGCATTATTACTATGGCATCACTTAATTCACACATACACTGCTAATGTTTACTTTAGAAGCGCACTGCAACAACTGAGATGCAGGACAAGCAGTGGCAAATAAATACAAGCTGTGAGCAGTTGTCACAAAACCTGAATCACGGAAGAGAAAACACTGAGGCCACAGAACAATTTTGATTGCCTAGGATTTGAGCACATCCACACAATACAGCCTTTAGCCACTTTCCCACCTTCTCATTCACTGAAGCCCTATTAACCCTAACATCCCAAGCACCAGCCTCAGTGAAACCACCGGTGCCACACCATACGCTAAGAGCATTCACAGACACCTGGGCTCATCCTCTATGAACTCACCCCTTTCTTTTCTTTAAATCCACTTAGACTTTTGACCTCCAGCACATTCCTCCTTCCTGATCTAATTACGCACTGTAAGAAAACAGACGGATGAGTCATTAGAGCTGTCTTCACTAAAAGCAGCACTCCCTGTTTGGGCAGCATTTTATAGCTCCTTGCTCACAGC